CACCATTCGACTCGTCTCAGTGAGACGAATCCAATGAGCTAAAATTCGGCTTTGTGTGATCAATAGATGGCGTTTAATCGCTTGTATCGGAATTTTAATTTTTGACGTTTGAAAATTTAAAAAAAATGCGAAAAAACGAATACACGACCATCCAGTGATTGTAAAAAGACGTAAAAAGACGAATTAAAGCTCATTAGATTCGTCTCGTCGAGATGCGTCGAATGGTGGTAAATTCATGTCTCTAGCATCAATGGATCGTTTTCTAATGCAAATTTTTTAAGAAACACTCACCATGTGCTATCTCGTGATCTATCGATGCTAGAGACTTGATTTTACCACCATTCGACGCGTCTCGATGAGAGGATTCCAACGAGCTATGGCTCGTTCTTGTACGATTACTGGATAGTCGTATATTCATTTTTTCGCATTTTTTCTTAATTTCGGATAGAACCGAACTGAACCAGACGGTTCCAAGTCCAAACCCGAACCGAGAACCGAACCGAATTTTTTGCTGGTTCTGGATCGGTTCCCGGTTCAAACCGGAACTGTTCAGAGCTTTAGCTAAGGCATTCAAAAACTATGGTGATATTCCCAAAGATAATTGTGGATAATATTTTAAAGGAAGCAGTCTTATTGATGACGAAGACATTCAATTAAAAGTAGCTTCATATTTGCGCCAACACAAATTTGATGTTACTGTTAATAGTTTTTGCAATTTTGTTAATGAAGAAATTCTACCTTCCATCGGTATAGAAAATAAAACAACAATCAGGTAAAATTTAAGTTATCCATACCATATACCTATAATAATAATAATATCTTATTATTTTATTTTAGTGAAAAAACTGCAACTTGATGGTTAAAAAAAATGGGATTTACATTTAGCCGTTATGCAAAAGGTATGATATATATATATATATATATATATATATTATGTTGATGGCCACAAAAGAAATGATGTTATTGCTTATCAGAAAGAATTTCTTGAAAATATGCAAAGGTAATATATTTTTCTATTAATAAAAACAAAAAATAAGCTTTTTAATTAATTTTAATTTTATTTATAGGTATCAAAGCTTAATGCCGAAGTTTATTGGTGAGGAATGTGAAACTCAAGTTAATCCTGAATTAGAAGGTGATGAATACTTACACATTTTTGTAACCCATGATGAGACAACCTTTCAATCAAATGATGGTCAAAAATCTGGATGGAGACTCAAAAATGAGCAGCCATTACGCAAAAAAAGACAAGGACGATCGATCCATGTTAGTGATTTCTTAACAGAAACTATCGGAAGATTGAAATTAAATGATGATGATATGGATGATTCAATTCCACATGAAGCACGTGTTATAATTAATCCAGGAAAAAATTTTGATGGATGGTGGAATATAGATCAATTAATTGAACAGGTAAATTAATATATAATTAATATATAAGATAATTAAATTTAAGCTAATTAAAAAATTTCTGATTTAATCAATATAGATCAAAACTAGAGCAATTCCAATTTTTGAAAAAATACACCCAGGAATGGTTGCAGTATTTGCTTTTGATAATCTATTTAGCCATGCAAAATTAGCTGATGACACTCTTAATGCAGCAAATATGAATCTCAATTCTGGCGGAAAATAACCAATTATGCGTGATACCATTTTTAATGGTCAAGTTCAAAGTATGGTGTTTCCTGATGATTATCCATATGAAAAACTTTGTGAAAAACCAAAGGGAATGAAAGTAATTTTACAAGAACGTGGTTTATGGGGATCTGGATTAAAAGGGTTCTGTGGTAATAAAGAGATATCATTAGAGAACCCAAGATGTTGTGCACGTCATGTTTTAGCTACTCAAGAAGATTTTCTTAATCAAAAACTAATTTTACAGGAAATAATTGAAGGACTTAAACATAAAGTTATATTTTATCCGAAGTTCCATTGTGAACTCAACTATATTGAGATGTACTGGGGAGCGGCAAAAAGGTATGCTTGGCAGCATTGCACTTACACTTGGAAAGGCTTACAGGAAACAGTTCCACAAGCACTAGATTCAGTTCCGTTAAGCCATATCCGAAAGTATGCACAAAAATCAGCAAAATTTATGGAATGTTATCGAAAGGGTTTAACAGGTGTGCAAGCTGATTATGTATTAAAAAAATATAAATCACATCGAGCTGTTCCGGATTTTATTTTTGAAAATATAGATGAATTAATAAAGTAAGATAGTTCCCAATATGGTTAATGTGCTACTTAATTTTTAACCAATAAAAAATTAGAATCATGATTATCACGTGATTTCTTAAAAATTTCAATTTGAAACATTCGTGTAATACTTGATGATTTATTATGTCTCTGACTATATAAATAATAATATGTCAATAAATTTAACAATATAATTAGTTTAAATATATTCAGTATTAGTAAAATAGTATTATAGCAAATTGATAATAAGTTTTATCAGTCATTTACTAATTCAGTGGTGATTAAAAAATACCTATTATGTAAGTCTGATAAAACAATTATCCAGCTAAAGTTGCTTGTTTAAACCTCTTCAAAATCCTACGATTAGTTTTGTCAAAATTTTACTATAGATTTATTATAGTTTTGGCAGAGTTTCGGCAGTTTCAGCATTTATAATAAGTTTCGGCAGTTTCGCCTTTCTCCAAAGTTTTGCCAGTTTTTTAATATAACTTTAATATAGTTTCAGCAGAATTTCGCTTTTTGGCGAAATGCCATCTTGCCTAAACCCTTAGGTTTCAGCAAGCAACCTTATATCCAGCATACATGACTTCATAACTGCAGCAAATTTACCCAGTATTACCATCACTTTTCTACTCCTACATGACTTTTTGGCCAGCATTATGGAATTAAGAAATTAACCATATAATGAATAAGGATGTGAAAAATAATTTTTTACACTTCAAAAAAAATCTGTTTCCAGAATACTTATGAAAAAGGGAAACGCAGAAGGTGTAACAAATATTTTACTATGATCACGTGGGGCAGAAAATACTGGATAAGGATTTACCCTGCATACCCTTCAAAAATGTCACGAAAATTCACGTGACTGTTTTTTGTCACATATGTTACACCCTTCCTTGTTTCCATTTTCTATAAGTATCAGAGGAGCAAATGTATCTTTCTTATACGTGTACAACACAGTGTTGGCAAATGACCTTGAAATGACCTTTAAATGACCTGATTACGTCATGATTTTACTATGAATATATCACGTGATCATATACGAAATGACCTAAGGTCATTTCAAAAAAGTGAAATGACCTCAAAATTTGCCAACACTGGTACAACATACTATCTTATACGACCTATATTATGTAACATATACGTCGTATAAGGTAAACATAGCATGAGCTTGAATTTTATTAATTAATGCCGAAGTAACTTTAGAGAAACACAGAGTGATCTAAAAAGTACCGCAACAAGTGCAGAACTAATAGAAAAACAAAGAACAAATAATCTTCCAAAATTACAAATAAGAAAAGCTAAAATTAAAAACCCCACCCTCTCTATATAAATAACTACGGCTACTCCCCCCAAATATATCTCAAAATGAGTAAAGTCGACTATGCTATACGTAACCCATCCAGCGCCGTACCCACTCCTAGAATCAGTAAAGAACCTCCGAGCTACCATTAGCACTATCAAAAATGACTAAAATTCAATTTCCCCTATTTGACTACATACTATGGATAACAAACCTATTTCACAAAGACCTCCGGGAACTTTTTAGTGTCGTGCAGTCCAGCTGATGGGGAACTTTTTAGTGTCGTGCAATCCCCAAAGGGACACCCACCTCATTTCGAACGATCCCAAATGGAGGACACCCACCTCATTGCGAACAATCCATCGACCTAAGATCTACCTAGATAAGTCAATCCAATGATAGTCCATCATGTGACCACCTTGATCGGCATACTACAAAAACTGCGGTACCAAACCTGTCACCCCCCTTATCACCCCAATGATGATCGATTTTGAAAATTGTAACACCAAGCCACCATGACGATCAAATTTTCCAGTATCCCCCCACCCCCCAAAGAAAATAAGGTTACACCGAAAAAAGCGACCAAGAAAAACAAAAAGCAAAAAATAAAGACATAAACCTCAGGAAAACTCGAAGTGCAATGAGAAAAACCTGAGTAAAATTCACCAAACATACACCTCAACTCCGTCTCCTTATTTTAGAAAACTAACTCCCCAGTTAACAACATCAACTAGCAAGAAATACGTTGGTCAGAAGCTCCTTCCAAGAAATACCAGTCCGGCCTGCGAACCACTTGGCCAGTTAGACTTTAAAGGCGTAGGAACCAAGACGCACTACTTTTCAACCTTTCAAAAAGCCCAGGGGAACGTTCGTATGGAACTGCCATCTTACAGTATTATTGGTAACTCCAAGACTCATGATAACGGTCATAACTCAATATAAGCCGTAAGGAGTTCGGGCGAAACTAAAGAACTCGGTAATAACTTCATATAACGTCGAAAAGTCCTTTTACTATCACTCAAGGCAAAAAATCCTCATATTTTTCATCCATAACTTCATGGGAAAAAATGGGCAGAGCCCAACGGGGGAGAAAGTACGATCATCATCTATACGTCGTATAAGAACATAGCACCTGATCGTATAAGAACGATACATTTGCATCAGAGGGACAGTTTTTTTTGAGTAGGTAAAAACTTAATTGTCAGTTCGTCACACATTAATTTCTTAATTTCTTAATGCCGGCTGTTTCGTGAGTCGTGACATTATTGAAGGGTACGCTGGGGTAATTCTGGGTAAAGATACTGTGGCACTATCATGCTTTACACGTATGCACTCAGCAAATTTTACCAATCATATTGCTTATTGCAAATACATGATACAGATTTCAGAGATTTTGACCTTATACCACCATTGCGTGAGTTTTTATTATTAGTAGATATGTATAAAACTTATATAATAATTGGGTATTTATCATGCGTAATACCTATATAGGTATTTATTAAATTATTTTAAATAATAAAATAGGTAGAAAATGGGAGTTCTTATTTGTAGGTTACTGTGCATAGGGGGCCCGCAAAAATACGGTAAATGTAATACGTAGCACAGCCGACCGCAGAATGCATTAGAACAACCGCAGTTATAAAAGATATAAATGGGTTAGGTTTACCGCATAAATCGTTCACGGCGTCAAACTAATAATAAAACTATATTATGCATTTTAGCCCTTATTTAGAGTAGATAAAAAAAGAATATGATGACTAAAGAACAACGAATCGAAAGATCGAAACCCGGTCACCTTAAAAGTCAGACCACTTTCTATTTAACCGATATAATTTCGTTTTAATTGAAACACTAAATTTCAATTTCTATATAAAAAAAGCTGTTATACCTGTTATAATTAATTAATCATGAAACGAAATTGGATTTTAGTAGTCATTTTATCGGTTATGCTTTCGATGGTTCATGCTATACCATTCCATATTCATAAACGGGCGCAAACTATTTCTTCACAACAATTAATCGAAAAGCTTCACTTGACTCCAAATCCTGAAGGAGGGTATTTCGTAGAATTTTATCGAGACAAATCAGTAATTAAAAAAGTCGGCTTACCAGATAATTTTGATGGTGATAGAAGTTTTTCAACTGCAATATATTACTTGCTCAAAGGAAAAGAATTCTCTTCCTTTCATAGATTGAGGTCAGATGAAGGCTGGCATTATTATACTGGTAATACCGGTGTTAAAATTTATGAAATTAGACCGGATGGAGAACTTGTTGTTCACAACCTAGGAAACGATTTAGTTAATGGAGAAATTTTTGCTGTTGTCATTGAAAAAGGATCCTGGTACGGTGCAGAACTTAGCGATCAAAGCAATGATAACTTTTCATTGGTTGGATGTACTGTGGCTCCGGGATTTGAAAATGCTGATTTTGAAATGGCTAAACTTGAATCTCTATCAAAGCAATTTCCTCAGCACGCAGAAATTATAAAAAAATTAACTCGCGAATAAGTTAGATATGTCACTATTCTTGAACTTTATTTAAATCGCCCCTCTACTCTTATTGATGACGCAAGTGAAAATAACTAGTTTTAATATAATTTAATAAATTTCTAAAATTTTAATATTAATGTATCGACGTTATATTTTCTGTGCCAATAGTATATTTTAAACGTAATTGAGAATATTAAATAAATAACAATGAATATTTGATCTATGGTAATCATATCTTCATTTTTTCGTTATTAAATATGTAAATGTAATACCAACATCAATTATAATTTGCTTTTGCTTTGCATTCCAAGCGAAAAATTCTTTACTAATTCACATTTGAAGTAATAAAGAAGACAAATTAATAAAGAACAATAAAATCTAAACAACCGATGACTATATATTTACCTGATTATCAATTTCATTATATTTCGTCCAGTCATTTGCAATCAGTGCATAAAGAACACATGGATCAACTCCAACACAATTTGGAGCTACATCTTTAACAATTTCTCGTATTAATGGCTATATAATTGCAGCAGTCACAAGAATAAGTAAGTATTCGGTATTATTGGCGAGGAGACGAAAAAATTATGACTATATCACACTAATTATATTTGTTATGACTCACCGGAGAGAACAGGCACTCCTATGATAACTCTAACGCTGTTTCCTTCGGTGTTTGGAAGAAATCGCAACTGTAGACATTTATTTGTATGAAATTTGGGATATATATGAAATCACAGATTGATCTGACCTATCAGTTGATCAGTTACGCAACTGACTAACTTTGAATCAGGTGATAAGCGGGAATGGTACTTTATTAGTGATAAAAAAAAATAATAAATACAACTCACTGTACATTACAAAATTTCTATATTACAATTGCGAACTTGAGTTTATTACTTGAACTATTGCAGGCAAGACAATATTCTGTTCCATTTCTATACCATTCACCATGTAATTCACAATTCCCATGTTTTTCATTGCAAATAGGTCATGGTGAGTTCCATGGTTGAGCAAATGCAAAATTATAATTATCAATTCCTCTAAAACTATTTCAGAATTTCAAGTATGTCTGGATTGGATCTGGCTTTGAAAGTGATAGGTCCTTTTTCTTCACATTATTCAAAAAAAAATAAATCAAATACTTTGTTTTCTGGCATCAAATTTATAATTTCTGATGCATGTACTTCTGATAATTGCCATGGCTCATGCCCAGTATCTTTTTTATATTTTTTGTATAAGCTGGAATAAATCCTATCTGTCAAAATACTTGATAACCCAGTTAATTTGGTATGCCAATTCAGATATTCAGGGTTAATATTTTATCAGATTTGGACATGTTAACTTTTTCTATGATTATGAATCAATTTAAATTAGGTAATAGTTGACATGAATTAGTTCTGTAAAAAATATCACAATGAAATGTGAGCAAATATAGTATTGTAAAATAATAAGACTATGCAGCTATCTCAAGTTTATGCTGTTCATATTTAATAAAATAGGATTCATATTATATCTACTGGATAATACTCTTATGTTATCCAGTTATACTATAATAATGTTATTTAGTTATAAGTACTATTATAGAGGTTTAAGCATATTTTGGCAGTTTCGCAATTTTGACAGGTTTTGGCATTTTGGTGTTTCGGTACTATATAAGAGGTTTCACCTTTTGGCATTAGGCCAAACAGGTTTTGGCAAGCAACCTTACCTAATAGTATCTTGGAACTGTTATAGAACTGGCAGGGAGCCAGTATAATAATTCTATTAATTTACCAGTTTTGAATCAGTTTTATACTGGTTTAGATACTGAATTATTGTATCCAAAAATCTGACTGAAATTATAAAATAGTATTGGTCAAATTTATGAAATGGCCAGAATGATCACTAATTTTCTGTACCTTACTGTATCTTAGGTTGCAGATTCTTTTCTATTACCTTCTTATTACATTCAAAATGGTGGTTGGTTAGAGATTTGGAGATGTCCATTTGATTGCCAGATAAGGCATAAAGTGCCAAATTTGCAATTCATTTATTTATTAAAAATGTACTACATTCCATTCACTTACTTTTTGATTACTGGTGAGGCATGAAGTGCTAATATTATACCATTCTTGCAATCCTGTCCATGATCATTTTGATTGCTAAGGATGAAGCATAATGTGCTGAATTAGTGATACAGATATGCAATCCTGCCTTTCATAACCCTTTTGATTGTCAAGAATGAGACACAAAGTGTTGAATTGGTAATCCAGATATGCAATCCTGCCTTCTATAACCCTTTTGATTGCTGAGGATAAATCAGATCTGGTTATACTTTTTTCATGCTCTTTTTCTCATGTTTTTCTAAACCTTTCTGTCTTTCTAATTTCTTACCTAATGATTTAGATATATTGGTTTATATTTTTTTATGTTATTTTGAGTCATACATATTATATTTTTTATTTTAAACTTTCCAAGTTTTTTTGTTATTTTATACTGCTTTCTTGCATATATACCATGCTTCTTGTGCAAAAAAATCCTAGGCCTTGCCCTAAAATAATAAATGAAGCAACCAGACTTTTTTCTGGTTTAGCGAATTTTGACTATGAGCCTAGCTATGATGATCATATATATTTCCAATATTTGTCTAATAATAAAAATGATATCTCTCTTCTAGGCACCTATTATTCTAAAGAGATTAATTCAAAATATATTATTCAGGTAGCAGAGAAAGGTTTTATTGTAGTTGATCATCCATCTGAAGTTTATGGGTTTTCTGATACTTACGATGAGAATCTGTTTCTTCGCCTAGTTTTAGATATTATTGACATAAGGTAATATTCTGATTCTATGAATTCTGAACTCCCTTCCTTAAATGAATATAAAATTTTTTGTGAAGATTTATTATTCAGAATTTTAATTGTCTGCATCAATATTATAAACTTATTTTATAATATAGACACTTTTGCTTTAGCCAGTTCATCTAATCTTAATAAATGCAATTGATATATCGTGTATCCTTATGCCTGTTTTATTGATTATAGAGACCTTAAAGGTTTTGTAAAAAAAGTTGCTGATAGAGTTTACCATCCATTACTCATCATAGCGAGGCCATTGAATATTATAATAAGATGATTTTGTATTTAGAGCAACAAGAGGATAAATTCAATATGAAAAAAGAAGAAATAAGATGCATTAAAAAACTTAAGAAGGAGGCATTAAAATAACATTTTATTCATGTGAGACAAATGAATCTTAATGATTTTATTAATATCTCTTAATTTCATTAATGTATACAATATATAATACTGTATAATAATTGTATTACATTTACCGTTGGCCACTGCATAAAGTACCCCGGGTCTTAATCAAGAACTCGGTTTTTTAAATTGATTAGTACCCATGGGTACTTTGTGAGGAACCGGGTACTATTTGTGGGGGGATATTATATAAGGGGGATATTATATAAGGGTTATTATATAACAGGCCGCTTACATTATACTGCGGTATTGTGATCACAAATTTTGTAATATAAATAAATCAATCAAATCAAACGATTAATAAAATTTATTTCATCTATTTCGTTGTTCTGAACATATATTTATTTCTAAAAAATATAAAAATAAAATTTTTTTGAAACAAATATGGCATTTCGTCAAAATCAAAAATTTAGAAATTGGCTATAAGAAACGAGAAAATTTTCCAGAGTAGATGTCAATACTTCTTTTTTGAGTTATCATCCGTGATGTTCATGATACCCTCCTTGATAAAGCAGATCCTATTACCCCCTATTTACCTACTTCGAACCTTGAAAAAAAACACGAAATTTTTGAAATATAATTTACTTTTAGTCTCTTATATAGTATCCTAAAAATGCCAAAGGGAAATTTTGGTGCACGACGAGCAATAAATACACAAAAAAAGCGTCGACAATGGAATGCTCGCGAAAAGTTGATGGTTGTGTTCTATCATGAAAATGGACATAGTATTCGGGCAACTGCAAATAAATATGGGATTGAACCAAAACAGGTTCGCGACTGGAAAAATAAAAAAACTAACTTGATGTGTGCAGCTCCATATGTTCAAAAACTTAATATTGGTGCACGACCAAAATATCCACAACTTGAAGAGGAACTTTTGGAGTGGGTTCGTGACCTAAGAAGACAATTAAAAACTGTAACCAGATATATGATTGGTGCAAAAGCTCGAAGTTTGGCTCATAAACAAGAATACCGTTCCCAGTATCCTGATATTCATAAATGTCAATTTTCACATAAGTGGGTGGATGGATTTATGTCCCGTCATTCGTTGGTAAACCGCCGATGCACTACAGTTGCACAAAGATTACCTGAGGAATATAACGAACAACAACAAAATTTTTTATCATACCTTCTTTATCTACGAACTGAGCATAACTATCCTTTAAATTTGATTGGCAACATGGATGAAACCCCTATGGCATTCAATTTGCCAAGTCAAACAACCATTGAAGAACGTGGAAAAAGAACAGTCTCAATCCTTACAACAGGCCATGAACGTACCCATTTTACAGTAACCCTTGCTTGCCTTGCAGATGGCACTAAGCTTCCTCCACTAATCATTTTTAAGTTAGTTAAAGTACCACGAGAACAGTTTCCAGATGGTATATATGTTCATGCAAATCCAACTGGCTGGATGGATGAGAAAGAAATGATTTGGTGGGTGGAAAATGTGTGGCGACGAAGGGCTAATTTAGGTTCAAATCCACGTTCACTTCTCGTTCTTGATTCATTTACTGCTCATAGGACAGATCCTGTAAAACGTCATTTTAAAGAGAAAAATACAGATATGGCTGTAATTCCGGGTGGTTTAACCTCACGTTTACAACCATTAGATGTGTCCTTGAATAAAGCATTTAAAGCAAAGGTTGTTAGATATTATGAATTTAAAATAAATATTATCTGCGAATATTAATAAATTTTATTTATTTTATTTTTATAGGTTCGTCATGTTTATAACAAATGGATGGACGAGGCTATAAAAGAATACACACCTTCAGGCAAGATTAAACGTCCATCATACTCATTAGTAGCATCCTGGGTTAAAGAAGCATGGGATAATATTGATCCTATAATGATACGACGGTCCTTCAAGTGCTGTGGAATCTCCACGGAGGTAGATGGTTCTGAAGACAAATATATTTTTGATTTTGAGAGAGTATCAGGTAAAAAAGGTGCACAAGTAATCAATATTGACGAAGAAGAGGGAGAAAATGATGAAAGTGATGAAGAAAGTGGTGGAGAAAGTGGTGGAGAAAGTAGTGAAGAAAGTGGTGAAGAAAGTGGTAAAGAAAGTGGTGAAAAAAGCGGTGAAGAAAGTGGTGAGGAAAGTGGTGA